CATAGCACTGATCTGGTCCGCACGTGACACGACCAGCGCTCACCATTTGTGCACGCCACATGCGTTCCGCGTGTACGTGGTCAAGCAGCATCCGGGATATTTCCTTTGAGCGTTTGCATGTGCGTGTTTCATGTGTGTGGTTTGCTGCTCTGTTCTTTTTCTGACGTTTCCCGTGAAGATTTGTTTTTCTGTTTCATACACCCACAAAAATTTGCAAACTGAAGGTAACAATTTCGTTTGATAAAAAGGTAGGAGAGATTAACTCCGACGTTTAGAACAATGTTCTGCTTGCTTCCTATGTACCAAAAAGAACCGTGTTTCGGGTACATGATCCACCGGGTCGCGCGCAATGCCATTTGTTATTAGGCGATCTCTTTTCCGGGTACCTGGGTACCCGATGTTAACAAAAAACGGGTAACCGGTTCTAAAAATACCCGCGAATGCACACCCCTAAGTGAAACCAAAGTCTGTTAAAGCCAAATCTTTTCGAAAATGCCCTATACATGTATGTAATGAAGGTGGGGAAAAGGTGAACCTACTTGATAATGCCAGGCACATTCCCAGCGCCATGAAATCTGGGTATTTTGCCAGGATCCCCGAGTCCATTGGCATGGTCGACATCATGTAGGTCTCGATGCGGTTACCAGCTAAATCGTTAATGTACGCACTAGCACTACGGGCGACGGAACCAGCTCCTGTATGATTTATCCCGATCACAAGAAGAAAATTAATGTGGACATCGAAACGAACCGTGCAATGATAAAAATCTTGATAAACATAGAGAGCAAAAAGTGACAGACCTTTTTTTTATTCAGCCGCACCTGTTACCAACCACGGTTGACAAAACCAAGGGTTTTACGTTTGAATATTATCTGCAGTTGCTCAATTACAGCTTTATTTTAGTCCTGTTATGTATGTATATTTAATATTTTTTTAATGATGTTAAAAGTTTGAAAAAGGATAATCCACACTGACCAATGGAGTTTTGGAGAAATACGCTCCAGCCGACCACGAACGCCCAAACCTCTCCCATGCATATATACGTGTAGACATAGGCTGAGCCAGCCTTGGGAACACGCGCCCCAAACTCGGCGTAGCAAAGAGCTGTACAGAATGAACACCGTGTAAAGAGAATTTTTCTACAAGTAGAAAGTAGACCTAAATAACATTATTAGATTGGCTCATTTCCTTTATTTGCGTTACATAAACAAAATTACACCTTTAAAATACATGCAATGTTGTACGAGGTGGTTTTTGACTCGAGTCACTTGCTCACACTGGTGTAGCCGAGATGAGTAATCTGGTTGGTACTAGAACTGAGTCACCCAAGATCACCTGGGACAGCAGGAGTGGAGAGATGCCCTATGATGGCAACAGTGTTTTATCACTATTGTTATTCTTCCTAGGCAGCCCTGCACTGTCCATGTCCTACCTCAATGTTTGTCTTTGGGCTCTCCCTGGCTTTTGCTTTTTAAACGCTGTATTCTAACTTTTTTAATCTGTTTTTTATTTAACTGTTTATTGTTTCCTGTTTAACATGTAATAATGAATATATTGTTTGCATTTGTTATTTGTATCCGCCTAAATAAACTATTATTATTATTAAAAAAATTGTGACTCAAGCAGGACTCTCGTCAATGACTTTAAATCACTGAAATTCTTGATGCAAGTAACTGCTCAGTGGGCCATAAAATTTCGTTTAAAACTCGTGACTGACCAATTCAAAGACATGTTGAAGTTTCTTACCAGATAGTGTAGCCACAACGGCGGCGATAAGAAATGAGAAGATCATGGCCGGACCGGCTGTGAACTTGCCCAACACACCGGTGACAACGTACACCCCTGCACCCAGGGTGTTCCCCACACCAAGTAGTATCAGGTCAAGGGTTGACAGGTACTTCTGGAAGTGGCTCTCCCGCAGTGCTTCCTCGTTAATGTTCTTCCTCCGGGTTAGTGCCCGCATGATGGTACACAGCACCATGCTGTTTGGGACAGAGCCAAACTGTGAACCTCCTGTTTGATAATATGGGCGTCTGGACCAATGGATCTGGCACTGTGGTGAGTGCTTTCTGGCTGGTTCGACCCTCGTATGGCGAGTTGGGGTATTCGCTGTTGTAGAGACTTGGGGTAAATAGGAACTGAATGTAAGAAGCAGCAAAAATCCCCTCAAAGGTAGAAAGCAAGACCTTCCAGTTGGTATTGAAACAATGAAAATCGTAAAAGCTCAGACATACTTTAGAATCAATAGTGTGGTAATGCATCAACATATTTGTTTTCTCAGTTCAACCAGCATTCCAGAAACTTTGTGTAAAGAAACTATCACTGTCTTTGCAAGAAATCCGCAGGGGTGGCAACAAGTCTTTTCTGTTTGTACAAGTAAAGTCACAAGTCAAGTTTTACAAGTCTGCCAAGTCACAAGTCATTTGGTCCACGAACTAGCAAGTCACAAGTCTTTTTGTCCGAGTACAAGTCAAGTTGCACCATGTGTCACGGTCATTCAAGCCACAGCTTAGTCTTGGCTCCAAGACCTTCCCCCAGTTCATTCTGCGATCCGCGACACGAACCACACATGACGGTTTGGGATAATTTTTTGATCAGGGGCGGCAACAGACTCAGTGTTTTAAAGATGGTACGATATGCATTATTCGTATCACTTGAGTGATGATCGGCGGAGGTTATGCAAATAATAGTCAACCTGTCAACATTCTTCACGTTCACGAAAGACGTTTCCAAGCAAAAACATCAGCCAACATCGTGTTTAACATTTTTGGAGACGCTTTGAGTTAAGCACTCACAAGTATGCTTCTCTAGTCTGGGGCAGTAGCCAAGATTTGCAGTGAGCGCCGATAACTGAAAACATTTGAGCCATTTTCAATTTTTGCCATGTCGCACATCGTCGCACACGGTGCCGTCACGACGTATGATATCTCCGCTCTTCTTTACGGTACCGCGAATTTAATTGCCCCATTTCTCCACCAAACTGGAAATTTACAGGAAGAATGCTCAATAAATATCTGAATATGTGTACTTGTTATAAAAATAATCTATTATCGTGTCTTGAAGGCATGTTACTGATGAACTGATTTGCCTCACTCAATATAAGAGCCGATCAACAGCTTTGATTGGCTCCCCAAGAAAGTCGGGGTAAAAAAAACCATGAAAAAAGTACTCCAAACAAAATTCATGTGCAAGGCTAAAATTTAGTAAAAACAGCCAAGTTCAGACGTGGCCTTGGACTGACAAGACCAAAGTAAAAGTCGCCAGCCGAACAAAGTATCTCGATGACTACTTTAAGAACGCAAGGCTTAAGTTGATAGGCCTAGTTTAAAACTGTAATGGGTCCGATTAAAAAGTTTTCTGACTTTTCTGACAGGAGGAACAGTGGAAGATACATACGACATATTTCACACGATGAAAATACA